GTTCTACTGCATCACCTTTAAGATCAAAGCAGGGCTGGGGCAAGTGCCAGCTCTGCGATAGGGTCCCCTTGTAAGATTTGCCGCGCTCTGCTGTGCTGCTCGGGCGATGGCTGCAGGGTTGGTCATACCATCCCTGGCAGCGCGCGCCGATGCGCGCAGCAGGGTTCCCGGCTCGACGCGCCTGTAAATGCCGCAGTGATAGGCAAGGCGATGACCGCCTCACGGTTTGCCTCCCACAAAATGGGAAGCTTCTGTGCTTTTGGGTACTTGCGATTGCTCGTTTCAAGAGTCACCTCCATGCATCCAGACACGACGTAACTCCAGTCCTGCCAAGACAGTGGTGTGGGGTGGAGGGGGCCGCCTACTTGCATGACGCTCTTACATGGTATGCTGACGCTGGCAAGTCGTGAGCCGTTTGGTGCTGCTTGCTTCGCACAACTAAGCTTGATTGTGCAGGCTTTCTGTGCAAAAGGCCATTGCACTGTCGGCACACGAACAAACTCTTCCGCCTCATTGGCACAAGGATATCAGCACAAGCAGGCAGAGGTAGCTCTCTCACCGCAATTCCTCCATAGCTGCAGAATAGAGGGCGCCAAAGGTGCACATGGGGCAAACGACGACAGAGCAGAAGCAGAGGGTGAGCACAGGAAGATGATTTGCCAATGGCTCAGCAAAGGAAGATCGCGAGTCCCTGAGACCTTGATGCACAGTGTGATGCCAGCAAGTGCTACAGCCAAGGCAGGGGTAAAAACCTGCTCACAACTCCCTTTGTGACATGTTCAGACCTCCCCCTGCACACATGGGGTACCAGGAGGCGCCGTTGATGGTGCCGCCAGGGAAGCTCTGTGAGAGGCGTCACCGGTGGCGGGAGTAATGGCAGAGGCTGCTAAGTGTTCGAGGGAATGGGGGGCATGAGACTCGCTTCAGCAGCCATGCTTTCAACCATGAGCACAATCGAAGCCTCTAGCCTTTCCCATCGCAGCCGCCATTGCACTCAGAATTGTGACCTACCCCTGACGTGCTCATGGTCGTGTGGGCATCAGCATACGTTTGCGCCAAGAATTTGAACGTGGCGCTGTCGGGGGCGTCGCTCGCGCCGCCGGCAGCCGACAACGTCCCGCTGGCATACCCATCCCACGGATACACTGCAACCTGTGTGCTTGAAGGAAACAAGGGCAGCAATCACAGGTCGTGAACACGTAATTGTTGTTTCAGGGGGTGCAGTTGCATGTGAGTAGCAACAGGTGAATAGGTCAGCAAGACTCCATTGCAAAGCGGGATGCAGCCTGTTGCGTCACAGCACATTGTGGGCACGCCAGCACCATTTAGCCAACCGCGTGCAGTGCAGGCATCGCCGCAAGCAGTAAAACACCCTGTCCCCCCCCCCCCCGTGCGTAGTTCTCAGGGTCGGTCAGCAGGCCATTTCCCAGGTCTTGCCGGGCTTGCCACACGCACTTTAACGGTGCAAGCTCCCCACAGGCACACGCGCCGAATGGGAGCAAGCACCATCTGCGTACAAGCCCCCAACGGTCACAAGCACTCACAGCAAAAACCCACCTCTGCCCCTTCATGAAAATTGGCGGCGCCCGCCCACGTCTTGCCTAGCATGAACTGCATGACAGCCCAGGTCTCAGGCTGCGTGCCCTTCTGCCTCAGCCTCAAGTCGGTGCCCGCGTGCTTGATGCGATCTGGAAAATTGCGGTTTAGGTCCTTGCCGCCCCTGAAGATGGTGGCACAGGTAGGGGGGTGCAGGGTGCAGGCGCTCGGCACGCAGCTGACAGAGCAGCGGAGATGCTGCGTTGGAGCGGGGGAAAGCTGCAGGGGCGGGGAAGACCTGCAATTGCAGCCGCTGACTGCGCTTCCAGCACTGCTCTTGCGGACCCAGTGGAATGCGGCGGCATCTGCGCTCTGTGGTGACGGATGCCAGGACAAGCCAGTTATGTGGCAGGCTGCGCACCTGTTCTTTCTCCGCCTTTTCGCAAAGCCGTCGGGGTTCATCGTGGGGATGAGGAACAGGTGCATGTCCCGGACCATTCGCGTTGCGCGCGCGTCCTTGCCGTTGTTGGCGCAAAGCCACTCCGCCAGCATCGGCAGCAGCATCCTTCAAGGGAACGCGGGTTTAGCGGATATCTGGTGTATCATTGTAAGCCACTGGCTTGCCGACACGGCGGCCTCTCCGCCTCCTGAGCGCACGTGCGCCTGCCATCATGCATCTGTGGCAGAAGGGCTCGCCAACCTGCCTCGAATGCCCTGTTCATGGGCCAAAATACCTTTGTACCTGTGCTGCACAACCCATGCCTCCCTGATCGTGCTCCCTCACCTGCCGCTCGTCTCGTCCCCGTGCATGTTTGCAACTGCGCGGAAGTTTGGCTCCGGCTCCTCCACGCCTGGCTTGTCTGATATCTCGAGCACAAACAGATCTGCGCCCCGGACGCTTTTGCCAATGCTGCCAGGGGTGACATCATTCAGGGTGTGGTTGGTTGTTTTGGAGTCAAGTGACACGCTGTACTATGGCAAGGACACATTGCCACCTAGACGACACAGCAGGAGTTCTAGGTTGCAGCAAGCGAGACAATTTGCAGAATTACCCTTGCCTGAATTTTCGGCTGATGTTGGGGCACTTGGTCACAAATTCATCCATCCAGGTGGACTGTGAGCGGGCCGGAGCAGTTGGTGCACACAGCACCACTCAGCTGAGACGCAAAGCAGCAACAGTCAGGACGGCCGTCTCGCTGGCCACAGTGGCAGCAGCAGGGGCAGCAGAAGCGGCGGCGGCAGCAGCAGCGGCGGCATCACCAGTTGTGTGTGCGGCTGTAGCAGCAGCAGTATTTGTGTCAGCAACAGAGCGACAGCAGCGGAGGATGTGCAGGGCACGGCTGTCGCAACATCCTCTCACCCAGCCCCGACCCACCAGCTCGTCGTTGGTGAGCCACTTCTTCAGCAGCTGGTCCGCCAGGGGACCCGCCACCTTCTTGGACCTTTGGGCAAAAGGCTGCATCGCCATAGACAAGGGCGTGTCCAGGGGCGCCCGCTCTTCGGGGTCGAGGTTGTCATGCGACGCGATCTGAGCGGCAACCTCCCTGGGCGGCGCCCTACTTGACGTCAAGGGGCCCTGCAGATTCGTGTTGCAAAGGTGCAGGTAGTGCACGTGGATTCTCAAGTATGTTGGTGTTTTGAGTGCACCAGCACCGCCACCAACATTGCTGAGTCGGATGAGACACACTGTCACATACTCGCGCCACCTGAGCCAGCCACTGCGAGTGCAGGTTTAGCCGCACCTGCAGTGAATTGCCGAGCACGGGGACTGCTAGCAGCGACACAATAGACAGTGCATGTACGTAGTTCCACAGGTATAGACTCATTTCTACACGGGGACGGCTCCTTGTTGCGTATCGGACCGTGGGTCACCCCCCCGCAGTTCAGCCGCGCGCAGGTCGAAGTAACCGACCGCGTGAAGGTCACGATACTACGTCGTCAAACTACTGAATACATCCCGTGGTTTGCACCGCCCAACTGTTGAATGGGAACGGGTCGCCGAGGGATCGCATCAGGAACACACTTCACAGTTCCTTGGTGAGAGGACAGGTCCTGGCCTGTAGTCCGGGTTTCCTGGCACGTCAGGGGTGCGAGGCTGCTGCAAATTGAATTATCTGGGGCGCAGTCGGGCGGCACAAGGTGTGTAAGAAGGCCCGCGCTTCCTTCCCCGCTGCTCGTACTGTTCCCGCTGCAGGCCGCACGACGCTTCGCACGCACGCGCGCTTGCACGTCACATGCCGCCAGCGCACGTGCTGAGTACCAAGTCTGATCAGGCTGGCTTTTCTTCGAGCTCCCACAAGATTCGTAACACGTGCCTCCACCTGCTGGTGGCGCCAAGGAGCGTCAAGTGCGGGGCCAACCCACTGTTGCCACATCCAGCTCCGTGGAGAGCAGAGCAGAATGCCAGGGGCGACCCCAGAGCGCCCATCAAGCAGCGGCATCATTAAGACCCCCGGGGGCCGCCTGCGTGCGCTCGTGGATCGTGCCATCAAACGACGCATCCAGGGCGAGCATTCAAAAAGCCTGCAGGCGCCATCAGGCGGGATCACGCCGGACGAGACCCAGCAAGTTCATACACATCATCAGAACAGATCACGAGAACACCAGGTCCTCGTCAGCGGCGTCAGCGAGCATGTTGGACGCCGCGACGCCGTCCCCCTTGCTGTCGACGCCGCCCAGGTCTGCAAAGGGGTCCTTCTGCGGTATGCCGGCGCCCGGGGTCGGTCGGGGAGTTGAGTGGGTATCGTCGTTTTGGGGTCGACAGGGGGGAATCTTTCACAGCAACGCCCAGGGTAGTGCCGAACAGACCTGCAACAGGGCTGTGGGGAGGAGCTGCATGCGTGCAGGAATGAGTCGTCCCAACATCCGCCGCGACGAGCTGGAGACCGTCGCGCGGGCGCGGGGCCGCGACCACCGACGCCGCACCGAGTGCTCGCGGCTCGCCCACCTGCTGCTGCGCGGCCGCCGTGGCCTTGCTGGCGGTGGCCTTGTCCGCGGCCTTCTGCTTGTTCTTCTGCACCTTCTTCAGGCGGAAGAACTCCTCGCGCTCCAGCTCGTCAAGCTCACCCTGGTCGTTTGAAGGGGATCAGACGATGGTTTCCAGGGCACTCCACAATCAAACCGGCGCCAGCAGCGGTTGACGGGGGGATTGACGGCGCAGGGGGCTAGCCAGCCCAGGCCTTGGGCCGGACAAAGGCCCAAAGCGGATGCAGCAGCGACCCTATCCAAGGCCGCACGACGCGGGCCCCAGGTCTCGCCAGCGCCTGGCAACAGCGAGCGACGTCAGCACTGAACAGAGGGGTCCGCCGGCACCACGCCGAAGCTCGGCGCGGCGCGGCCCCGGTTCGCCACGCCCCACAGCTCCCCCCAGCCCCGCCCATCAAGCCTGCTCCGTTCCTCTTGCGATCGTAGCCCCACCTTGATGTACGCGATGGTGTTCTCCAGCTTGGGTTTCACCACGTTCTCCAGCGCGTTCACTCGACGGTTGGTGGTCTTCAGGGCCTGTCACGTGCAGGCACGAGGACCAGCGATGGGCCGCCCGCGGTTAGCAAGTCGCGGCCAGGAGCAGGGACGGCCGATCGTCGAAGCAGGCACAGAGAAACAAAAAAGGTGTCGCTGCTGCAATGGCTGCTGGCGCCGGCACTGCTGCAGCTGCTGCAACTGCCACTGCCGCCGCTGCTGCTGCTGCTGCAGCAGCAGCAGCAGCAGCAGCAGCAGCAGCAGCAGCAGCAGCAGCAGCAGCAGCAGCAGGACCGGTTGCGGGCACCCCCGCGTGCCCCCCTGGGTCGCGGGCCGCACCGCGTCCAGTGTCATGAAGGCGGTCTGCAGGTTGGCCAGCTGCACCAGGAGCTGGATGGCGCTGATGTAGGCCTTGCGGCACGACTGGATCTGCTGCCCGCCCTTACCCAGGCCTTTGAGGTTGGGAAGGGGTTCGCGATGAGGGTATTCAACGGCGTTGCGTGCGTTGATCTGTCAGCGACTTGGTTGTTGACAGCTTTCAGCACAGGACTTTTCATGGGCTCCCTCGGGTCAGCAGTCCTCCTCAGTGCTGCCTCACCGCAAGCTGGCCCGGGTCCACATCGCAGACACGCACTCGTGCATGTAGCACGCTCTCCCCCCGCCGCCCCGTCGCCCACCCGTGAGGTCCATCTTGGTGTCCCCCGGCTGGCTGACGCTCTCAAACTTTGGGATCTTCACCCCCGCCACGTTGTCCATGGCCGAGTACACCTGGGGGGGCGGAAGGAGGAGGAGGTGGCACGGGTTTGATGGACGAGCTGGTGCCAAGTTGCCACCAACCGGCTGCTTGCGCGTTGGCAAGCGGGGCTCTTGTCGTGCAGGGGCCAGGGTGTTGAGGGAACCCACAAGCGGAAAAGATAGCCCCATCAAGGCTGGCGTACACGCCGAGCTCCTTCTATCAGACAGCTGGCAGCAGGACCAAATGCAATGCTGCCGGGATCAGGGCCAGGAACCCAGGGGTGGCCCGCGTGTGCGCGCTCGCGCGCGTGCCTTGAGGCTGGCGCGCTCCACGTTGTCAAACACCGTGTGCTTGATGCTGTCGCCGCCCGCATACTTGGCCTCCGCCAGCGCAAAGAACGAGCCCTTCATTGTGTCGCCCATGCCCTGCGCGCCGGCAACAAAAGGGCGGGCGCGGCAGGGGCGGGGTCGGGCGGGGGCCGCGAGCCCGTACGGCTGGGTGGCGCCACGCCGGATACGGCACCTGCTGCTGGCTGGTGCCGCAGCTCGCCTGCGCTGTGGTTCACCATTGCGTCCTCCGCAGACGCGGTGAGAGTGTGCATTCACAGCGCGCGGTGCTCGCGTATATCAAATTTGCCCCAAGAAAAGTGTTGTTGAGTCGTCACACACACGGCATAGGCATGCGCGAGCGACAGCGAGCCCGCAGCGCCATATCTCGTGGTCTGCGCCCCCCACCTGCTTTGCCTCGACGATCTCCTTGAGGATCTGGCGGTACCGCACCGTCAGCGCGTCCGCCTTCTTCTTGAGCAGCGCGTGGCCCTTGGTGGCGCCCACCAGGCGGGCCTTCATCATTGTGAGCACCGTGACGGTGGGCGGCACCTGGTAGCGGTTCGTGGAGCCCGACATGGCGCCCCAGCTGCTGCTGCTGCTGCTGCCCCTGCTGCTGCCCTAGGTGCTGCTAGTGCTGCTGTAGTTGGGTCAATGCTGGTTGAAGTAGGGTCGCCACTGATGGAGCGGTCGATGCGTTGCGCCCCGTGGTGTGAGCAGCTGCTGGGAGTTTGCCCCTGCGGGTTGTGTACGCAGGCAGGCCAGAGATGTGCGACGAACAAAGGGAGTAGCGCTGCCAGCGCAACAAGCCTTATGATATAGCATGGCCATGGCATCGACCAGCAAGAGGTGCTGCAGTAACACAAGGGTTGCGTTGCAGCAGGGTTCCGAACGCCGTTCAAGAGCGCAGCGCCTGCAGGCATACCCAGATCGCACACCACTGCCACGGAGACATCTTAAAATAGTCCCAAGGACCCTTCTCGTTGCCTGGTGTGATGGCCTTGCGCAGACCCACCTCAGTGCTATCGCCAAAGATCGCAAGGCCTGAGCTCCCGCTATATATCCTGCTATGTAGCCCTCTACTCTTTAGCTCAGGCAGTCCACGCCCTCGGGGTGCACGGTCTGTTGCGAGCGATCTAGTACATGTGTAGAGAGCCCTAGCAAAAAAGCGCAAACTGTTCAGCCAGACGTCTGATTTTCCACCGCGCTTGGTCTCACCGCAACCAGGTTCATGCTGCGTGATGAGCTTCGGTGCAGCATGTACCCATTGCAGGGACCGGCGATGGCATGCGCGCAGGCAGGTTGCATTCAGCTAGGACAACTGCCCCGTTCGTCATAGCAGAGCAGTCCTGTGTTCTTTATGATGCTGTTTGTGTGTGCCGGACACCGCCGCTCATAGCAACACGCGCACAAGGGGACAATTCTCGGTACATATCCTGGCCGTGCTGTGCCTTTGGCTCATGTCCACTGCTGTGCAGGCCGTTCCATCACAAGCCTTAACAAGGATCCACGTTGTTGAAGCAGGTCATTCATGTTCATGATGAGATGACATTGAGACCTCACTGCTGCCTGGTTTCACCTGAGCTCACGCCCCTGCAGCTCGCTGGACCGCTGCCTTGGCCCACTGAACAACACAGCAATGAGGGCAGGCCCCAAACCGCCCTGCATCATGTGGCCTCTACGTCCTTGAGTCGTCACCAACAGCAGCCTACGGCACTGCCCTTGCCCTGCTGCATGACAGCCTGGCGGGCCAAGCTGGCTGCCAAAAGGGTACAAAAATGCTGCGTTGCAGGTTACATGCGGCAGGTGCCGCCCGTCTCCATTAATAGCCCAAGATCCAGATTGTCCCGCAAGCTGCAGGCCGCGGTAGGGCGGCACGCCCGCTCAAAGGTCCTGAACCGACAGGCCTGCAGGGTGAGAGATGTGGTGAACGTTGAGCGGGCAAGGCACGGGTCAGTTTGTGCAGGCAAATACACCAAGGGAAACCGCCCTGCCGACTCCCAAGAATCCAGCGTCTCAGCTGCAGTCCCTTGTAGGCATGCGCGCTGCTGGAGATTCACTGGAAAATACGGCTGCTGGCTTTGACACGAGTGCCGTCGCTCCCACAACAGCCATGTCAGCTGCGCCGCAACAGCCACGCTGCTGCCAGCAGCTCGCACCACCTGTTGCAAATCGCGCCCGATGGCAGCCGCTCGAACACCCCGCCACCACCGCGTCTGCACCCGGCTATGCCCGGCACCCTGACTAGCACCAACCCGCCAAACCCAAATGGCGACGTCTGGCCGCCCTCTATGCTCCCACCCTCGTCGCTCACCCGGGGGCAGCGACTGCTTGAGCTTCTCGGCCTTGTCGGCGTCCGTCACGCTGAGCGTGTACAGGTACTTGCTGCAGCGCACCTTGAACTTGGTCTGGCCGCGGGTCTTCTTGATCTTCACTGACCGCGCGTCCTTCCGGCGCGCGGTCAGGAGGAACTCCTTGATCTCGCTGATCTGCTTGGGCTGCGGGGCGCAACGATGCGACGGCAGGCGGGCCAAGGTGCTTTGGTGCGTGCGGCGAGCGCGGCGGCGGCGCGCAACGTCGTCTGTGCCAGTGTGGTGCTCTCGCGCTGCCTCAGCCAGCAAAAACGCGTTCCTTGCAACAATGCCAGTATACAGAAGCCTGAGGAGCAGCTCTCAGCTGCAGAGACGAGCCACCGGATCAAGCACTGGACGCCCAGGGCGTTCACCCATCAGCAGCATCACGAACAGGTCAGCGAAGTAAACCATCACGTCGATATCAAGAATCGGCTCAAACGCATGCGCAAGACGCGCGCTGTGACTCGCCGTCCTGCCGCAGCCGCCGAGTACAGCGTAGCCCTCACCATCTTGGCAAAGTCCAAGTCCCTGGGCCTTCGGTGCTTCCAAAAGGCCGAGCAAGTCGGGAGTTCAGCGCTATGGGCGAGGCAAGTGGAAGGCAGAACGATTTTATGACGGTCACCGCGGTTGATTCCAGCATACGGTAAGCTGCAATCAATATTTTCGACACAGTGCATATCAGCAGCAAAGTCGTGTCAGCAGGCATTAGATCATAGGCTTGTCAACATCCTTGTTTCGCTGAACGACCGCGCACCAGGTGTTTTTGTGCCGGCATGTGCAATTATAGCCGTCCTCTTGCAGCTTCGATGCACCATTGGGCACCAGGCGCTGGCTGGCGCTCAGCGACGCTTGCACTTCACGCAGCCTGCTGCACCCGCCTCATGTTGCAAGGCCGCACATGGGCGTCAGCGGCGCCCCTTGTATGCAAGTGTCGATGAAGGGCGCTACAATGCCATGCCTGCACCAATTCACACGCGTGGGCTCGTCCAAACACCCTCTGCTGACACAGGGTGTGGGTAGAACACGGTTTGTCTTGCGGCGCCAACGGCGGTCAATAGTCAAGAGTGGGGCGCGATGCGGTCGGCACTGCGCGCCGAATTGGGGTTGCGCGGCAGGTGAGCTTTTCGGTAGATGGAGGCGTGCTGTGTGCTGTGAGCCCATCGAGCTGAGCATAAGCAGGCGCCCATGCGCACCGTGCTGTGCTTTGCATACTTAAGCCTGCAGCAGCAGCGCGGCGGCGAAGCACCGTGTCCAGCGACGCGCCGCCGCCGAAACCGCCGTCCCTGCTTGCTGCCTACCACGCTGCGCAGGGCCTCACTAGTCACGCGGCGGCGTGCGGCGGCGTTCCGGCCGGCGTGCCAGGCGGGAGCGTCCACTGACTGGGGCAAGTGAGCGACGCGGTGTTGGCGGTTGTTGCTGCAGACGGATGAATGTTGTGCTGCAGGATATCCAGAGGCATGCAGCGTGCCGGCATGTGTCTGGAGCGAGGCCGACGGCTGGTGGGCTGTGGCAGCAGTAGCGGCCAGAAGACTGCAGCGGCTGCGCCGTTTGAAGCTCGCTAGGGCCCCCCTGCCACGTGCGCCGCCCCTGATTGCGCAACAGGGCCGCGGCGCGGACAGCCGTTGACCGGTGGGTCAAGCCCGGCAGCGTCGTCGGCATCGGCACGGGCGAGGTGAGAGAGGCACACAGCTGAGCATCAAAGGGCCGTGACGCCAGCAGGACGACCTCTTGTGTGCTGAGTCATGAACGGCACGGGGACGGGCGCGTCAGAGGCGGAGTCGCCGTCGCAACACACCTGCTTTGGACCCGGCTACTGGCAAGAATGCTGCCTTTGCAGCGGGCAGCCAAGCCAAATCTGCGGTCCCTGTGGCTTCTGACACGGCCGATGAGGTTGATCCCCGGGCAAACAACCACCATCCAACAGATCGTGAGCCACGCGGTGGAGTACCTCGCGCAGCAAGTGGCCAGCGGCAAGCTGCCCGGGGTGGTGGCCGTCCCCTCCTGCAGCACGGCGGCCAGCGAGGCGGCTTTCCAGGGCTTGGCCATGAGCTCCCTGGAGCAGCACCCCAAGGTGGGCGCCGGGAGGGGGGGGAGGGGCGCAAGGGGGCCGTGCGGTGCACGCGGGTGAAGCCTATGCACGCTTTGGACTTGGCGGCTGCGCTGTGCCCCATCCATCACCTGGGCACATTCACGCGCATAGCCACGTTGGCACGCGCTCCTCCCACCTCCCGCCCCTCCCCCCACGGCGCCCGCATGCATTGATGTGCACGCTGCACACACATGCACGCAACTCATTCAAACACACTCTTGAACATGATCAAGTGCACGCGCACGCTCGCCACCTCACCTGCGCACTCTCACGCTTGAGCACGTCCCGACCACCCGCGCCGCCCGACACTGCACCCACCCTTCAATGAACCAAGGTGGACGTGTTCATAGAGCAGGCTGATCAGATCGACGTCGCAGGCAACGCCTTTTTGAAGGGCATCCGCGCGGAGCCCGTCCAGCCCGACCTCATTGCGTTCAGGGCCCTGCTGGCCGCCGCGGACCGCGTCGTGGTGGTGGCGGACGGCGGCGACGCCGTGTCGCGGCTGGGGGCGAGCCTGCCGGTGGCGATCGTGGCGGAGGGCTGGGAGGAGCCGGCTGAGGAGCTGGATGATATGTTCCTGGGGGACGCGGAGCTCTGGTGGGGGCTGCATATGTGGATTTGTAATTTTGTGGCATTCTTTATTTATTATTTGGTTGAGTATCTGGGGATTGGAATTTTTGTTGACTTGTGTATCTGCAAACTTGAGCCGTTGTGCCAGGCTGTCCTAGGTCCGGGCTGGGGCCCAGGCGGCTCGCTGCGTGACTCTGTCGGATTGCGAGGCCTGGGTTGCGCCGGAGCCCCAAGGGCCAAGGGCGAGTGGTGACGACGAATCGTGCAACACACCAAAGCCACGGCCCCTGGAGCCCGCAGACGAGCCCCGCCCCGTCGCTGACCTGCCCCTGCCTGCCGTCCAGGCGGCGGCCGTCGGAGGGCACGGCCAACCCGCGGGGCGGGCCCAACCCGTTTGTGTCTGAGGACGGCGCCTACACTCTGGTGGACGTGAGATTCTATGAGGGGTTCAAGCTGTACGGGGAGGACGAGCAGGTGAGGTGGCCGCGGTGTGGCTGTGTGGTGGCTGTTGCGTGGCTGGGTGGTGGCTGGGTGATGGGTGTGCGTGCAGGACCTGGTTGGGGCGTGTGGAAAGGTTGGGTGAAAACGCGCACTTGTGGGTTAGCGCATGCGCCTGGTGACGATGAGGGTCTTGAGGATGAGGTGCGGGCCTCCGGCCCCCGCCCAAGGGGGCAGAGGGCGCAAGTACTGTTGCTCGAGTATCCCTGAATCAAGGGTTGTTCTCCTCCTGGCTGCTGCATCATCATTGTCAACCCATCTCGAAACACCGCTCATTCATGCACGCGCCCAGTACTCGCGGATCGCCGAGGAGATCGAGGGTATCCCGGGCGTGCTCGCGCACGGCTTGGTGGTGGGCCGCGCCTGCGCCGCCGTCGTGGCAGACGGAGAGGCGGGCGCGGTCACCACCACAGAGCTCGGCGCGGCAGCGGCGGGGGACGCAGCCGTGTGAACACTGTCGGACATCCTCTCTGTTTTTCGACACAGCTGCAGCGGTGGCCGCAGCATGGCCTGCGGCTGCTGCGGCTAGCTTTTCACGGTTTGCAGGCGCCTTTGCAGGCGGCGGCCTGCGACGCTGCTGAATTTCCCCAAAAAGATGGCCCCACTTGCTTTGGCTGTGCTTCGAACTCTCAGTTTCAGTTGGCCACCTGCTGCCACCTGACTTGCACGCTGTGTGCCGCAAGTGGGGCATTAGCAGCACAACCCAGCTGTGGTCGGGGCGACCACCCTTTGCACTCCTGATGCCCCAGGTAACACTGAGGCGTGGCTGCTGCTCGCAAAAAAGCCGGCGCGAGCGCGCGCAGAAAAAAGGCAAGATTTGCAGGGGCGGGCGCTGCTCCGTGCCGGCCGCCGGAAGCCGGCTGGCCGTTGGGTGCGTGCGCGGCTGTGGCGCCGAGCGTGCGCGTGCGAGACGCTGCAGTGTGCGCCCGTCCCAAGCATGAGGCGGCGGTCGGGGGCTCGCGCAACCCCAGGAGTGCTGAGTCTGCCGCGCAACCGCTACCGCCGGCTGGGGACGCCACGACCCGCAGGCAAGGGAGAGAGTGCTGCAGGCGCCGCGCGCTGGTCGCCCCTTCCGACCGGCAACCGCCTGGGACAGGGACAGCTGCCTGCTGGCAGCAGCACCGCCGCTGCAAGGAAACGAAAGGGGTGCGGTCGGCAAGCACAGCGGGCAGGGGCAGCGTACAAGTAGGGGTTGGTAAGAAGGCTGATCAGGCAGACCAAACAAAGATGCGCCGAAAAAGACGACGGCCTGGTGACTCCCCGACTGGACCCGCGAAAGGGGCCGTGCGGGGGCGACAAAAAGCACAGGGCAACAAGGAGAGGCGAGAAGCCGCGACAGACGACGAGGGGGCACGACCCACGGGACCGCGGGGGAAGCAGAGGCGGTCCTGCGCCCGGGCGGCGGGCGGCGAGGGGGCGGGGGAG